CCACCCCAGCCTGGAAGGGGAAAAAATTAAATGTCATATAAAAGAACTAAAAGCCATTAGCGATAGCCAGCTAGCCAGAGGTTGCCATTATTAATATTTTTCATGTATTTCATTTCAGTTTTGTACGGTTTTTAGCCATAGGGATCATTTTATTCCTATGCCTCGATTCTGTTTTACTAAATGTTAGCTCTTTAGCAACTCCCAGGCACTAAATATTCTCTGGATATATGATTTTCAGTGACCTCATGCTATTCTGTTATGCTGTAATTCCTTTAGGCAGAGCCTTAGCTGGGCATTTATTAAATCGTTCCCTATTACAAATCACTCAGCAGTGGCTGTCTTAGTGTGCTCCTCTGTCGATTTCCCTGGAGGTCAGTTCTGGAGTAGGACTGCCGGTCAAAGGCCAGGAATCTTTTGAAAATTTTGGAGGGCTCTTGTCAAATGGACAATGGAAAAATTGCCCTCCTCCGTGGCCCACGGCTCGACCTCTCCCCAGCTCCTAGGTGGGGTGCCCCTCCCCTCAAACTCCGTGACTGGCGAGTGGAGTGATTTGCGGTAGGAGCAGATCTGAGTGCTGGGGACCCCAGGAGAGGAAGCAGCTGCCATCCAACATTTGCCCTTGAAGGGGCTGGATTTGCTTTTCAAACACGCAGGGTTAAGGCCCCCGAAACAGTGTGAACTCCTTGAGACTCAAGGTGCTGGGGAACAGGCTTCCCTACTCTATCTACCCAGCCCACACTGCTAAGCCCCTGCCTCCCTCTGAGGCTTAAGGACCAGCGGGCAGGATGGGCCCTGAGTCCTGAAGACCTTCTTCCCCCAGGGACAGTTCTGGGAGCTGACTGCCTAAACAGACATTCTAATATTGTGTCACACTGGAAAATCTTTGTTGCTGTCGTTTGAATAGTTTTCTTTTCAGTACTGGGGACTGAGCCCAGGGCCTTCTCATTGAGCTACTTCCCTGTCCCCTTTTTATTTTATATTTTGAGACAGGGTCTCACTAAGTCACTAAGTTGCTCAGGCCGGGTTCAAACTTGCAGTTCTCCTGCCTCAGCCTCCCGGAGTTCAGGGAATATAGGTGTATGCCGCCGTGCCCAGCTCACACTGGAAAATCTTGACTGCATTCCTCAGAAGCTCTCTAACCCTATGTTCTCTGAGCTGTAAAATGGGATTGTCACGGGGATTAAATGTGGTCACATTTAGAACTCTGTCTGAATTTGATCATATACCTGTCGCATATTAATAACTGCTATTCCTGTTGGCAGTGGTGTATTAGTATTAAGTGTGAGAAGGAAAAATCTCAGCAGGTAGGAGCCAGGCTTTGGAGCCAGCCAGACAGGTCAGGGTTTGGTCTCTACTAACAGCCCCTGGATAGAAATGAGTGGTACAGGGGCTGGGGATTTAGCTCAGCGGCAAAGCACCTGCCTGGCAAGCGCAAGGTCGTGAGTTCGGTTCCTGGTACCGGAGAAAAAAAAAAAAAAAAAAAAAAAAAAAAGAATGGTACAGCAGAGGCATTTGTAGGGGCTTGGGGACAGCTGGGTCTGCCTTTTTTTTTTTTTTTTTTTAACTAATTCAGAAGAAGCTTCCTTTAGGACATCTACGCAAGTGTTTCACTTGCCTGCTCTTCAGTTTTTATGTCAAAATTGGAAATGTGCAGTTCACAGAGGCCAATAGCACTAAATCTCAGGGGCTGCAGGCAATGAGGGTTTGCTCGTGCCGGCTTGTGAGAGCCTGTTGCACAGTTCTTAGGATTTTTGAAAGCTGAGTTTTAGGCACAGCCTTTATTAAAAATTGAAGTCCATTAACTTGCAATTAAATAAATTGTAGTAAAACAGAGTCACTAATATTAAAAATTCATCACTTCCTAATTGTTTTACTCCTCACCGTGTTCTGGAAGTCCTGCTGCTGTTGCGTGCGTGTGTGTGTGTGTGTGTGTGTGTGTGTGTGTGTGTGTGGGACGTTGTGTACTGATCATACTACACTATCAAGAATCTGTCCTCACTCTGTGCTCGGGGGCATCAGCTCTTTAACCTGAATGGAGAGATTCTGGGGAGATTTTATTTGTACCGCTGAAGCCTGCAGACGCTACAGAGCCTGGTCTTTTCCTCCTGGACACCCAGTGAAGCACCTGTCAGCTTGTCACCGCCTGTGACCTCAGTCCTTGCCCCACGTGGCTGTGCTCACCCGGTTTCCTACTCCCCAAAGTAGTGACTTTTATGCCTTTGCTGTTCTTTCTGTACTTATCCCATACTTTTAATTACATGCTTTTACCACTGGGTCTTGATGTTTATTTATTTGTTTTCTGAGAGAGGGCTCCACTAGATAGTTTCAGGCTGGTCTTGAGCTCACTATATAGCCCAGGATGGTCTCAAACTCACAGTGATCCTCCTGCCCCAGCCTTCCGAAGGCTGGGATTACAAGCGTGTGTCTGCAGCTGGATACCACTGTCTTGATGTTTTAAGTCTTAGACACTTCCCCCTGACTTCCTGCGACGGAAAGTGAGATCGGGCCTCCTTCCAGCTCTGCCCTCCTCTGAGCTCTACACACTCTTTCCCTGTCTCTGCCTTCCCAGTCAATTGTAATATGATGTTTGTTTAAATAAATACTCAAGATTTACATTATTGTGACTATGGAAATATTATACACAAATCATTATGTACTGTGACTACATTAATTTTCTTATACAACATTTTCTTTCCTGGAGTTAATAATTGCTTTTTTTTTTTTTTTTTTTTTTTTGAGAGAAGGTCCCTATATGTAGCCCATGCTGGTCTCAAACTTGCAGTGATCCTCCTGCCTCAGCCTTCTGAGTACTGAGATTACAGGCACGTGCTACCATGCCTGGCAATAATTGTATTTTTTAATATCCTGAACTTATCTATAAAAAGTGTTTTTCAGGGAGGCACTTTTGCCACTGAGCTATATCCCTAGCCCCAAAAAGTGTTTTTTGGACTTTTTTTCAGCAATAGAACTCATCTTTCAAATAAAGTTTTGTGTGGAAGCTTACTAAAAAAAAAAAACAAGGAAATCAGAGCTGCCAGGTTGAAAGGAGCCCCTTCCCTTCAGGGTTGCTGCTTGCAACCAAGCAGATTGTGCCTTGCAAGGACCTTAGCGTCACCAACCCCATGAATATCAATGGGACTCAGTCACAAAGGCTGCATGAGGGAAAATGCATAGGAGTGGGAAGGAGTTCACCTCAAAATCTGCATGCCACCCCAGGGTCACTCTTTTTTTTGGCTTTTTGAGACAGGGTCTTGCTATGCAGTTCAGGCTGGCCTTGAACTCACTGTGTAGCCCAGGCTGGCCTTGAACTCACAGCGATTCTCCTGCCTCAGCCTCCTGAGTCCTGGGATTACAGGCATATGCCACCATGCCCGGTGCTGTTTTGTTTTGTTTTGCTTTGCTTTGCTTTGCTTTGCTTTGCTTTGCTTTGCTTTGCTTTGTTTGAGACAAGGTCACACTAGGCAGTGCTTGCGGGGGATAGCTTTGAGGGCTACACAGTGAATTCAAGGCCAGCCAGGGCTGCTTAACAAGACCCTGTCTCAACACACACACACACACACACACAAACTAATGCACAGGTTTGTGGTGAGAATTCAAGATAACATGCAACCCCAATGAATCCCAAGGTGACCTGTGGCTTGGACTCTGCTTCAAGTTTCATTTAAGAAATCCCGGTCTAACAGCTCCGGAGTAATCGGAGAAGACTTTGCAGCCCTGCCTGTGTCCGGGTGGAGTGCGGGGAAAGTTCTCACCCAGGGCGGATGAGGCCGGCACTCCCCACCCCTGTCAGCCCGGTCGAGCCCCCGACTCTGCCCTCTCCTTGCCTGCAGTTTTCTCCAGGCTCGCTACTCCTCGCCCATCCTGCACCGCCGTGTCCCTAAGACGGAATGCGGAAGGGGGCGCCGGGTGGAGAGGGTTCGCGCGATGTACGCGCTGAAGCAGCTCAGGCCCCATCTCCCCGCAGGCGGCAGACAGGGACTGTGGGAGCCGGGCAGGAGCCCCGCCCCATCCTTCGGATGTGATGAAGACCACTAAGCACTCCGCTGAGCCAGTCGGTCACGCAATCTGCACCGCAACGCTGAGAAACAGGTGTTGCTAGGTGTTGCTAGGTGTTTTAGAAACGAGGCAACTGAGGCTCGCAGGAGTCCAGTGGGCTCCCAAAGCCACGCAGCTAAAACGTAGCAGAGCTGCGGTTCAAACAAACCCTCTGACTCCGAAGACTCGGCTTTGGGCCACGAGGCACTGCGTACGGTTGTTCCAGATGCACACTGAGCCAGGATGCCCAATCACGCGATGGACTCAGATTCTTGCCTCTCTGCTGACTCGGGACCCAGCTCCCTGCGGAGAAGCCGGGAGAGTGGGGTCGGCTGTGTGTGGTGTGCGCCGCTAGGGCTGCGCCCACTGTACCGCACATGTTCCTGGGGGCAGGAACATCGGGGCTTCCCCCGCTTCCACTTGAGGAGGGCCGGTTCGCTGCGGTCTTCTTTGGTCGGGTCGGGGCTGAAGACAAACACAAGGGCCTTCCAGTTCCGTTGTTCCCTCGGCTGGACTCACGCTAAAAGCAACAGCAGAAGTCCTACAGGAAGTGACCCAGACTGTCCTGAATGGGGGCACCTGGGATCCCCGAGACGAGGCACTCAACGCCACAGACCAGGCCCACGGCATTTATTGGGATGATCTATTAACAGAGGGTTGAGGGGTGACTTGCATGGGACAGCAGGGGGACAGCCCTTCTCGCAGGGCGTGCCGGGGTCAGAGGTCAGGGGGTGGGGCGTGCACGGAGTTTGATGCCTCGGGTGCTGCCTGTGCCTGGAAAGGTCAAGGCGCCCCCTGGCCTGGTGGGGAAATCCTGCAGCCCGGGTCTTGAGCATCAAGGAACGCTGCCTCTGAAAGTGTGGGGAGGGGCGGGGGGATCCCGCCCCAGCTGAGAAGCCAAGCAGAAGGGTTGTTTTTTCTGGGGCTGGCCAGCTGACTTCCCGGTGTGTCTTTCTCCTCTGCAGACAGGCAGGATCGAACCCAACTACCCCAAGGTGTGCGGCCATCAGGGTAACGTGCTGGATATCAAGTGGAACCCCTTCATCGACAACGTCATTGCCTCGTGCTCGGAGGACACGTCGGTGAGCCACCCGCCCGAGGGTGCTACTCCACTTCCCCTCTCTGCCCCGCCCCCCTGTCCCCGCTGTCCTCCCGGACAGCCCCAGTGGGAGGGCAAACTGAGTCTGGAGGCGTTGACTTTGTGGGAGACTTAGAACAAACCCGGCAGGTGCATGGGGACGCACTGTGCTCTCCGGAGGAGGAGGGCGGGAGGAAGGGGCGGAAGAAAACAGCTCTGAAGAGGTGTGCACGGGCGTCTCGCAGGCTGGGTGCAGCGAACATCCCCTGATGTGTGTTCTGGAAGCTATGGCTTCCGGAGAAAGGCACTGGGTGGACAGGACTGTTGCGAGTTATCTGAGGACCCACACTGATGGCTTGGAATCGAACTCTGCGCATTTCTTCCTTCACGGCAAGAGAGAAGAAATAGGAGAGGAGACCCAGGAAGAGAGAGCTGGGAGAGAGCAAGGAGGTAGAGATGGCAGGGAACGAGGGACTAAGGAGTCCAGGGAGAGCTGCAGCTGTCCCTTCCTCCTGGGCTCCGCTGCAGTCAGGGCCGCAGCAGGGCTGGGGGTGCTGGTCTAGCTCAGGGCTCTGGACAGGCCCCTGCTGCCCGCTCCCCGCTGGCCCTGACCTGCCCCTGAATGCCAGTTCACAAGCAGATTTCACCTCATGCTCCGAGGGCAGCCCAGCTGGTGAGGAGCCGGGTGTTCCCAGGCCAAGGAGGAGCCATCCTTCATTCAGGCTACAGCGAGAGCTCTTTGGCCTAGGCTGAGGACAGGCCATGTTCCCAGGATGCTGGAGCTGGAAGAGCTGTGTCTCTTGTCTCCTCAGACTAGACTGTGATCTTCGGAGGGCAGAGACCATGCCCCGGGTGGCTCTGAACCCCAGGCATCCAGCAGAGGGACCATTGGTACTGTCTATGGTTGGGTGGGTGGGTGGATGGGTGGATGGATGGTGGATGGCACCTCATGGATGCATGGGTGCATGAACCGATGGATGGATGGATGCACGTGGATGGATGGATGGATAGGTGGGTGGATTCATGGATGGATTCATGGACGGATGGACGTAACATGAATATGGGGATGCATGATGTGCGGATGAGTAGCTGTACAGACTATGCATGAATGGGCAGATGGATGAATGGATGGATGACTACGTTGATAAAGAGCTGGCTGGCAGGGCATGTCGGTGAACACCTGTAATCCCAGCACTCAGGAGGCTGAGGCAGGAAAATCATCATGTTTCAGGCCATCGTGGGCTACATGGGCTATATCATGAGTTCAAGGCTAGCCTGCACTGCAAAGCAAAACATTGTCTCAAAAGTGTGTGTGGGGGGAGCTGAATGGATGGATAACAGGCGAATGGGTGGGAGGAAGGATAACTGGAGGGGAATGGATGGAATGATAAATGAATGAGCGAGTGGGTGAATATGGCCCAATTAATCAATTATCCAAAGAAAGAAAATCCCAGGAGAGCCTCCATGCCTCTTGGGGGTGAGGCCAGCTGGCACAGAGGGCACATGGAGAGTGGGGGGCGGGGGCCAGGAGAGGGGCGTGGGCTTGGCAGCTGCTGGCCATCACAGCCCGAAGTCAGCTGCAGAGGATTCCCGGGAGCGGCAGCTGCAAGGGAGAGAGCGATGGGAAGATGGCCTCCCAGGTTTCCTCGCTTTCTGCAGCAGCCGCAGAACCAATGTGATGTGAGGAAGCAGTCAGGGGCCAGGTCACGGGAAGAGCAGAGCTGCAGGAGGGTGGGCCTGAGGAGACAGCCAGGGAGGTGACAGAGCTAGAGGAGCAGAACCTGCTTCCTGGGCTGTGAAGGAGGCGGGCAGAGCTTGTGGGGGCTGGGGAGCTCAGTGGTCACCTCAGGAAAGGACAGAGCTCTGCAGGGAGGCAGGAGCCTAGGCCCAAGTGTGACAAACACAGCTGGCTCTGTCCCAGCCTGTGAGGTGTTAGACATCTGTCACCAGCCAGCAGGAAACAGATGCCCCTGAGACTTACGGCTCCTTCATCCACGGTGGGCCAGGTACCTGACATACATTTATGTGAAGCTTTGGGTCCCCTTGAGACAGGCACTGCCACCCCCAAACTGAGGGTCTAAGAACAGGTCCCACGCAGCAGGGAAGTGGAGGAGCCCGTTTCACCCGGGCTGCTGCCTCTACCAAATTCTATCACCAGAGGAACCAACACAGGTGCTGGGTGTGGTGGCTCATGCCTGTAATCCCAGCTACTTGGTAGGCTGAGGCAGGAGTATCTAAAGTTCCAAACCAGCCTTGGCAACTTAGTGAGACCCTCAGTGAGCTGGGGGAGGGGTGAAGCCGGTCTGTTTCCTGCCGCCCGCATCCCGCATCCTGCATCCCATATCCCTGTCACTGCCTGACTCCGCCTTCGGTTGGATAAGCTGGGCATGAGATACTCCTAGGAGCTCGGACCTGGCTGTGAACTGTACATGTTCGAGGGATCTAGGTTGTGTGCAACAAAGGCACAAGCAGGTCTGTGCCTAGCCTGGTGCCTGGCATGGAAGGGCAAGCAGAAGGCCGTGCACAGGGCAGGAGGAGGCGTTACTCTTGACCAGGGCGCAGGGAGAAGGGCGACTTTGGCAGAAAGAGTTAATCATCCCAGGAAGAGACCCAGGGGCCAAGGCCTGAGGGAAGTAACAGGGTGCTGAGAGGCCAGAGAACGGGCAGGGGCGGCTGGGACCGGAGAAGGGAGGACGGGCCACAGGCTGGGCGGCTGGATTTGGAGCTGGCACCTGTGCCCTCCCGGGCAGGCCGAGTATAAGCCAAGGTTCGGGGGCCGGGGGTGGAGCCGTGAGGACCGTAGCTGTGTACAGGCTGGGAGTCCCGGGGTGGGGGTCCTGGGGGAGTGCAGGGAAAGGACAGGCCAGGGGACATGGGAGGGAGGAATGCAGGGCCGCTGATCCAGAGACAGGAGGTTAGGTCTTGATCAGGGAGAACTAAGCTCCACGCCAGCTGCCAGGCCAGCTGCAGGGGCTGGGCTCCCAGCCCCACCGGGTGTCGGCCTGGCCTCAGCCTGAGGACCTTGGCCCTGGAGCCACCGGGGCCTGAGGTCCCAGCCCCACAGAGTGTGTGCCCTTGGCGGGTCCCTGTCCTGTGTTTACAGGGGAGGAAACGGGCTCAGAGACATCACACACTCAGGAGTGGTATCATCACACACTCACCCTGTCCTCTCTGCACGGCTGTGCTGGGCCCCCCCACCCCTGCCCGCCCCTGTTCCTCCAGCTGGGCCACCTCGCTCCGTCTGTGCCCCTGGATCCCTCCACCCTCAGATCCCGCGTGGCCAGCTCCAAGGGCATGCAGCTTGCTGTCCCAAAGCAGGGTTAGGAGGATGGCAGGTGGGTGACCTATGCCAGGCCTGTGTTCTGGACCAGGCTCCCAGAGGGGCAGGAAGAGCAGCCCTTGCAGGGGTCTGGTGTCCCCCAGGAGTCCCTGCTGGCCCTTCCAGCCCCCACTGCCCTTGCTGGTCTGAGCACATTTAGAGGACATGCAGGGGACTCACTGAGCACTGCTCCCAAGGTCCTTCCTGGACCTCATGCCTGAGACACCCCAGGAAACCCATCTCCGCCCTGAGGCTCACCTCCCTGCTGCCCTGGGGTCGTGTGCGTCCTACAGAACGTGCTCTCTGTCCTGTGGGGTCCAGCGGCACCTCCCCAAGCCCTTGCCTGGGGCCTCCGTCCTGGGAGGCTAGGGGCTGTAATTCTCCCTGGCATCTGGCAGAATCCAGCTCTTCCCGCCACCGGGTGATGTCACCTATTGTTGAGGCCTGTGCTTTTTATAGCTTCTGCCGCAGCTAGGGAGGGCGCTGGCAGGCAGGCAGGCAGCAGGGAAGGGCGCTACCCCTTCCAAGCCTTGTGCTACTGGGGCTGCTCCGGGGGGCTGCAGCCGCAGAGAGAAGGAGAAAGGAACACTGACAGCTCAAGGAGAAGGGGCGCGTGATCCCAGGAGGGGAGGAGGGAGAGAAGGAAGAGGCTCTGTCCCTGGTGGCCACGCTCAGCATCTTTCTCTTGACTTCTATCCAAGCTCCTCCATCCCACAGAGATCTGATCCCACCCCTGCCCCCAGGAGCTGGGGGTGGGCCTGGCCAGGATGCCAGCCCTGCTGGAAGTTGCACACACCCTGCCTCCTGCCACCCCACCCCCAGCGGAAGAACCAGAGCCTCTGGCTGCTGAGGAGAGCTGGGGAGGACGATGACCGTTGTGGAAAACCATGGACCTCAGTGCCACTGAGAAACCAGCAGTGTGGCTCAATGGTCAAGCCAGGACGGCCGGGTATGGTGGCGCACGCCTGTAATCCCAGCACTCAGGAGGTTGAGGCAGGAGGATCATTGCAAGTTCGAGACCAGCCTGGGCTACAAAGTGAGCCCAAGGCCAGCATGAGCTGCATAGTGAGAACCTGTTTTAAAAGGACAAAAACAACAAAATAAAACAAGCCAGGCTTAGGTGTTCATAGGTTTAAATCCTAGCTGTGCCACTTCCTGGTGCTCCTTCCGTTGTATTCCTTTGTGTTTTCTTTTTTTGTTTTGGTTTTTAGGGTCTCACTGTGTAGCCCCACCTTAAGATTGCTGTGTCACCCCGGCTGAGATGCTCCTGCCTCAGCCTCCAGAGTGCCAGCATCATGGGTGTACACCACCACACCCAGCTAGATTTTATTCTTTCCTGGAGGAACTTCCTTTGCTGGTCTCTAAAAAAAAGACCAAGGAGGCTGATAGACACAGTCATCTGCTGTCACATAATGACATTCCTGTGAACCACTGACCGAACGCACAGTAGTGTTCCCATAAGATGATAATGGGACCAGAAAATTCCTACGACCTAGTGACACTGTGTTTCTCATAATGTCATAGTGCAGCGCGGTCCTCACGTTTGTGCTGCCGGTGTAAACAGATCCCTGCCCCTCGCTGCAGGTAGCATAACAGTCTAGCACAGGATAAATCACTGTTACTGGTTTATGTATCCCTTTGATGATACTTTTTATCATTATTTGAGTATGGACTCCTAATTACAG